CACCCACATGGTGGCTCACAACCATGTGTCACTGCAGTCCCAGGGGATCCAGTGCCCTCTTCTGACCTCCACCTGTACCAGGCACACAGGTGGTATCTACACATACATGCAGGCAAAATACCCATACACATAAAAATAAAGTAAGGCCAGGTGGTGATGGTGCACACCTTTGATCCCAGCATTCAAGAGGCAGAAGGCAGGTGGATCTCTGTGAGTTCAAGGCCAGCCTGGTCTACAAAATGAGTTCCAGGACAGCCAAGGCTACACAGTGAAACCCTGTCTTGAAAAAAAAAATCCCCAGTACTCCTTTTTCTAACTTTTCCTTTACCAAATTCTGTTCATGACCAAAAGTGATGAATATACCAATTACCTCAATTTGATCATTATGCAATATATACACAAATTGACACATCAAAATGTACCCCATAAATATGCCTTTATATCTCAATCAAAACATCTTTACTTCTTTGAGACCTAGTTTAATTACCAAGCCCTAACTAAAATACTAATGACTAAAGATTTGTATCTACATTAAAACTTTTTAGATGTGTTTTGCCTGGATATGTGTCTATGTACACCATCTATGTACAATGCCCAAGGTCAGCAGAGGCCATAGGATCCCCTTAATTTGTAGTTATGTAGTACTAGGAACTGGATCTGACCATGATGCCCAATGTTTGCCAGCCATGCTGGTGCACATGTGCTCTAATTGCAGAGCCATATCTCCAGCCCCTGTACCGACATTTTTTAAAGGACCCACTGAACAATTCGATCTTGGACCCATTGAGGCACAGTGCAAGCCTAGACTTTTTCCCAGGACTGGCTTTATACTAATAGTGTTAAGTATTCAAGCATCTGTACTGGCCTGTCTTCGGGTTCTGATAGGATGGATATGCCCTAAGCTGTGGCCACCAAGACCACCACCTATGCACATTATGTTCCCTTTTTAAAAGGGCCCTAGTCACCCCCATTTCTCTTCCTGTCTCCTACTCTCTCCCTCCCTTCCTCTCTTCTGTTACTCCTGTCCCCCAGAAGCCAGTCTCCTCTCTCCTCCCCCTCCCCTTTTTCCATTCACTTTCTCCTCCAATAAAAAACCCTTCCACCCAAGATCTCACATGGCCTCTTTAAATTACAACTAGTAACACAAAAGCTGTTTTTGCAAGCAGATTCGAAGTAAACTTACAAAATCCTAGCAGGTCTTGGCCCAGAGTGCATAGTGGGCCTGCCTTCCCTTCTCAGTTCTCCACTTACATGGCAAACATAAATGATTCCTCCAGAGGCTGGAGAGATGATTCAGTATTAAGTGTGTTCAAGTGGACCTGAGTTTGGTACCTAACTCAGCTCATAGCAACCTGTAACTCCCACTGCAAACTCCTCCCTGAGCATCTGCACTCACATGATTTACCCACAGAGACAAATGCACATACTTAGTTTAAAATAAAACATTACAAACAATAAAAACTTCTTAAAAGGACTTCCCATGTGCTCAGCACTAAAAGTCTTAGTGCACTATGCTTCTCCTTGGAGCAGGGTCTTCAATAGTCCAAACTTGTCCTTGGTCAGATAAAAACGCTGAAACAAAAGTCGGGCCAGCATCCTAAGGGTTAAAAAATTAATGTTCAAACTAACGGGAAACCAAATTTTATTTTGCTTCTTTTATTTAAAAGTTACTTAAATATCCTCAAAGGTTACAAAATCGGGGTCAGATAGGAACACTGGTACACAGCTTAAAATACAAATGCCAGTAATTATTAAAGAACATGGTTAATGATTGTTCCAAGAAAATGCATAGTAAGAAATATTTTTCCAGGAGGCAAGTTAAACACCAGGAACCAAAGGAAGAAGGGATGGAACCTCAGATGGCTCAGGAAATAGCCTACACATGCCTCCCCCACCAGGCTACACACATGACATCTTACATCACAGGCTGCATCACTAGCCTTGACCTTCAAATCCAAAGGGAGTTACACACAGCAAGCGCCTGCCCTTCAAAGACATGAAACTGATGGCTCCATTCCAGATTATGGTTTAACCTGGGGGGGTTACAGCTTCCCACTAGCTGTCCAATGAAAAACAAGCTGTTGTTTGTTTCAACATACTTGAAAAACAAGTATGTTGTTGACCTGCATAATTATACCCTTCTTTATCTGAAGGTCAAGCCATTTACATTTTACCTGTGTTTAAAAGTTGTGTCTCAACTAAGTTTTGTCCAGTGTGCCTAAAAGCTTTTTAGCTTTTAAGCCAAATGTACTTCTGGGGAAAACATCCATATATTACAACACCTCAAAGTTTACATTATAATAAATTAGCTTTCACGTTATAAATAACATCTCAGAAAACTGAATCTTATTAAGATGATCTAGCATACATTCAAAACTATCTTTTCTACAGCTTTACTAAGTTCAGAAATCAGCAACGCTGTACAAAAACACTGAATATCTAAATTACACCATTTCCATCAGTGTCTTATAACCCAAATCATAAATGTCATTTTAAGCACCAAGACATACTTCCTTCAAGTTACATCTGTAATATTAAATGGCCAATCTCACTATTTAAATTTTAAGTCTAAAAACTGAAATCTCTACATGAAAAGGATGATAAGAGTTTTAGAAGAACTGACAAGGACCATGAATCTCCTTTCCCATTTCTGTGTCCCAAAGCAAAAAAGCTCATTTGCTTCAGCGGGCCATGGCCAAGACCCATGGCCAGGGAGACAGACATACTGACTTGTAACCTGAAGGCAATAATATTCACTGGAGCAGGCACAGAAAGGAGATCAGAAGGAGAGAAAAGGCAGATAAGCCAGCCTTTCTTCTTAATATTTCAGCTGGAAAACAGGAGCATCCATTAGCAGTGAGAAAACACAGAAACTCTTGGAGACACAAATGTGAGGCCTGTGTTCTATCAACTTCAGGATAAGTTACCTAAATCAGAACCATTCTGCCAGCCTCCAAAATAGGACTCAGATATTGAATACCAGTTAAGGCTCCCAGGAGTACTCCTGGGTTTAGCTAGCATGAAAAACAGAAAAAAAAAAAAAAAAAAAAAAGTCAAATAGTGTCTTCCATTCAAACAGCAAATCCTCAAGTTAGAATAATAATGACTCACATTTGGGGTTACCTTTTTGTTTTTGTTTTTCCTGAAACAAGTTCTCACTGTATAGCCTAGGCTGGCCTTTGTGCCTACCTGGACACTTTTTTTTTTTTGGTAGTCAGGGTGTCATGATCTTCTGATCTTCCTTCACCACTCAAGTGCTAGGATTAAGGCATGTGCCAGCACACCCAGGTTTTTTCTACTTTGAGGCAACAGTTGGGGTAATTACTTAGGATACTCTTACACGTGAGGGTTAAGAGAAAGGCCCCCCCCCTCCCCTAGGTAAGTCACACCTGAGAGCATGAGTTACAGAAAGTGAACATACCCAAGCGTAGATACAGGCAGGTCCCTCCAAAGAACTGCCCTCGTTTTTTTTAGTTAAAAAAAAAAAAAAAGAGAGAGATCAGAAGTAACAGTAATGGTTTCAGAATAAAAGGACCCAAGAGTCCCATTTGAAAAACATGAGACTGTATCACTAGAAAATGTCTGAAGAACAATCCCCATATTTTCCCATTTTATTTACTTTGTGAGTACATGTGCCATGTGGAGATCACAGGGCAACTTTTAACTCCTTCCACCAGGTGGGTCCCAGGAATGGAACTCAAGTTTCCAGGGTTGGCAGCCTTTATCCACTGAGCTGTTCTGCTAGCCCCACCCCAACTCTTGACAGAATGTCTACTGGCAAAAGCAAGGGGGCCAAACCTAGTTACCTGTTAGTGCATGGATGGCATAGTGGGTAAGAGACAAGGAATGGACTAACACTTCACCTAAGGTGCTCTGATGAGGTATAGGAAATTAAAACTACCAAAAAAAAAAAAAAAAAAAAAAAAAACATGTGTTTCCATTTAGGGACATATTTCCTGCTGTTTAATGCCACAGCCACCAAAGAGAGGGAGAAATGTATCCCCTAAAAAGGATCCATGTGGGTTAACTTTCAAGCAAACACAAAGATTCTACAGCCCCTATGACCAGATGCATCTCAGTTTCCACCCAACTCTCATACCAAATATGGTCTAATCCCTGAGGCATAGCAATGGCAATTCATAACAGGCAGGGGCAGGTGTCCCATCTGATAAGTCTCCCTCCTCCTTTCCAAGATGCAAAGAGAAAGCCTTGGCTCATGGCTATTCTCTTAGGGCTTTCTTTTCCCAACTCTAGACTCAGGCTGAAATCTTAAATTCATAAACCACTGAATAAGCCCACCCTCAATGTCCACAACTACCACCTGGCCACACCATTGCCTTTCTTCCAAACTTTGGAAGATAGAACAAGTGAAAGATTTTCCAGTAACAGCAGGGTGAGGCTGGGCAGCATAGCAGAGGTAGTATTGCGTCAGTGTTTGAAGGATATAATCAGAAAGAATGAGAATTATGAATAATTCTGTGGCTAAACCTGGAGGAACATTTTACTGAGCAGAAAGCCGGGGGTTAGGGATTAGACACAAGTTACCTCCCAGTATGGCTCAAAGGTTTGACTCAAAGAAGGGACTAAAGGCTATTCAATTAAATTCAGACAACTCAGAGACCTTGGCCCTCTCATCCTCAGCTGAGAATACAAGATGAGTGGCTCTAAACGCAAGTTTGAGGATTCAGTTTTAAAATAAATTTAACGAGCTTTAAAATACAAATGGCACAGAATATCTTCAGTCACTACAGAAAATCACACACACACAGGAAGTTAGAATATGACATAGAAAAGTGCTGAAGACTGCTTTGTAAACCTAGGCTTCTATAATTAGAAAACAAAATAAACAAAAACTATAGCCTAGAAGTTGCCCATAACAGAGTTCAGATCACATTCGTAGATTTTGCAACTGGGTCTCAGATCCTGAAGTTATTTATTCTTAGACTCATGATTAAATTTATCCTTTAAAAGCACAGAATGATACTGTTTGTGTCTTTATAAAATAAAGGACATGAGCTATGTGAGCCTAAGCCAATTTTAGTCTTTATTCTGTCTGCTGTATATTAGTTGACCAATGCACAGAGACAAAAATCACTGCTAATGCTTTCCCCCTAAGTCTGGGTTTCCTTACCTTCCTTTGTTAGTCAATTACTCAGCAATCTACATCTTCCTATTCTTTAACAAGGTCTGAATTCCTCTCTTAGAAGTGAGGATGTTTTAAAGGGTATTCGTGTTAGCCTTGGCAACAGGACAAGATTCTTAACCCTCCTTAAAATATGTATCAATTGACTCGGAGTTAAAAAACACCACCATGACAGTGATGTCATCCCGGTACATCCTGGCTACATCTTCTGGTAAGGTCAGCATGGCAGCTAGTCGCTCTGGCTCCATCTCCCCATACTCATTATTCCCGATGGCATGTCTGATCAGATGTGTGGCTGCATTTTGGTCAGCTGCATGGAGTCCACTGGCTTTCCTCTGCTGCAGCAGACTCTGCATGAGCCCCAGGTTGGCTGGTCTTTGGTCCAGATCCGGCTTATGGCAACCAATCTTGGATAGGTGCCCCCGCCACCAGCCTTACCACATCCTCATTGCCCAGCATGTCCCACAGACCATCTGAGGCCAGCACAAGGAACTTATCTTGGGGCCTCAGCCTATGGTATGTAACCTCAGGCTTGGCAGTCAGATAGGGTGGAGTGTAGTAGTGGGGTGGTGTGAACTGGTAGATGTTGAGGGCCTCAATATCAAAGCCCCTCCCTAGGACACTACTTTGCAACTCTTTACTCCATTTTAGCTGGACATCCCCAAAGGCCCTGCAGGGTATGAGGACACCCAGCAGCCTATCATCTATGATGAGTGTCCTGTCCTCAGACTCAGGGTGTTCTCTCTTAAGCCGGGACAGCTCAGCCTTATTCCAAGCATTGTGGTCACAGGTAAGCGGTAAACTGGACCACACACCATTGTCTTCCTGGACACCAAGGATAGCCCGGCAGTCACCAGCATTTGCTACATGCAGGTGAATTCCATTGACATGGGCCATGCAAGCTGTTGCCCCAGAAAAAGCAACCTGGAGGGATAAGTTTTTTGTCACCTCATCTTCCAGAGGAGCCTGAATTTCCAGTGAGATGTCAGAATCTAGTCTCTGGAAGGAGTACATCAATGCTTCTTCAATGCTCAAGCCCATTTCCATGTGCAGGTCAAGAAGTTCCTGCCAATAGACTCGGAGGTGGTCCAGATGTACTGATGTGACATCCTTATAAATGCTATCCCCAGGATGCTTGAGCCACTGAAGAATGGGTAGCAAAGGCTTCATGTTTTCCATTGCTTCCTCCATCTGCTCCAAGGTCTGGTGGGACATCAGGGACACTGCCATGTAGTAGAAGAGCCTCTCACTCACGGCTTGTGCACATGCATGGCCACCATGTCCATCAAAAATACCAAACATTAGTCCGTTGGTTTGCATGCAGGAAGCTACACCTTGTCGGTCCTCCACTGGGGAATTGGCAGCCAGCTGGTTGCTCTCAAACCTTAACACTGAATTTGGAACTCCATTGTTGAAATCAAAAAGCTTGTGAGATGACTCGCCAGCCCGAAGCAAATCATTGACCTGTTCAGGGCTAAGCTGTAAATGGAAATCCTCTTCCTCGGTTGATGTGTGTCTGAAGGCTTTCTGGGAAGCAAAGCCACCACATGGAGTATGGTTCTTTAGAGTAGAAGATGTCCGAAGAAAATGCCTCCATTTCAGTTGATTCCTATTTGAGGCATCCCTTGAGTATAAGCGTCTACCCCCTTGAAATATAGCAATACGATTCCTCGCAGAATTGAAGATCCGGTAGGATACAGTACTTGACATTCTGAAACTATATTGGCAAGTGGAGGTGGGTTGTTTTTCAGCCTGAAAAATTAATGTTTATGAAAACTTCAAAGTTCAGATTTTTAAAACATTTCTTTTGCTAATATTCTCTCTGGTTTTATAGAGCCAATAAGAGCTTCCTGCCTTCCTCCCAGCTAGCTGCCTTGTGCCTTTTCCTCTCCTTTCCTGAGCCCTTTCTCAGACCAAAGCCTCCTATCTAGCTAGCTCCCTTATTTAATCTCCCCTGCTGTTATCTTAGGTAGCTGCCCTCCCAAGCAATCTATCTACTCCATGAATTCCAGACACATAGCTGCTAACTGGCAGCTATCCTGAGTCCAGTCCTGTACCTGGTACACAACAGGTCCTCAAATATTAGCACAACTTGGCAATTTCAGAGCCACAGTGACCTATATTTAACAGACCTGTTTCACTAGTCTCCATAGCACTGATCTATAGATGCCCAGCCCCCCTTCTATACTTATACAGGGTCTCAACGAGTTGCAAGGCTGGATTTGAACTTTAGCTCCTCCCCGTCTCAGATTCCAGAGTAGCTAGAATTACAGCCACTGGGTACTGTTCTCACAAATTTGGGAATGTTTTTTGCTGTTGTCACTGTTTTGCCACCCTGGAGGGCATGAAATTCTTGGTGTAGATCAGGCTGTCCTAAAACTCATAAATCTGCCTGCTCCAGCCTCCTGAGTAGTAATGGGATTAAAGGTGGTGAGGGTACACTTTAATCCCAGTACTCCTGAGGCAAAGGCAGGGGGATCTGAGTTGGGAGGCCTGCCTGGTCTTCAAAGAAGAGTTCCGGGACAGCCAGGGATACACAGAAAAAGAAAAGGGGTGAGGGGTGGGTTGTGTAAGTTTGTAAAAATAAAATAGAATAGGACACTTTCAGGCAAGGCATGGTGCTACATGACTTTAATTCCAGAATTTGGGAGGCTTAGAGACAGAGGCAAGCTAAACTTTGTGAGTTCAAGGCTAGCCTGATTTACATAGCAGATTGTTTTTGGCATCATTCTGGGCCAGCCATGCAGGGTGGGATTCAAGGAGTTCGGGGTGGTGATGCAAACCTTCAACCCCAGCATTTGGGAAGCATAGGGAAGTAGAGGCCAGCTACACAGAAGACCCAGTGTGGTGGCACACGCCATTAATCCCAGCACTAGGGTGGCAGAAGCAGGCAGATCTCTTGAGTTCAAGGCCAGCCTGTCTATAGTGAATTCCAGAAGAGCCAAGGCTACACAGAAAAATTAAATCATTAATTTAAATTAAATTAAATCAAAAGAGGTTTTCACTATTTTTGCCATTGGGGTACATTCTTCTAGTTATTCGGTACAGGGTTTTATATCGTTGAGCCAAGTACATTTAATCTGGCTTCCGTGCTAAAGACAATGTTTTCAGTGATAGTACAATTTGTCGAGTTTGCCATAAACATTCACAATTATTGGAGACTTGGAGCTTGTTTCCGCTAACCTGGTACTTACTAAACACCAAACTGCACGGCCTTTACAGCCACCTTTTCCTTACTTGTTTCCAAAATCAGTAGGTCAAAGGGTATAAACGCACTGTCAAATTGATTTCCCAAAGCCAGTGCAGACCATCCATTCCCCAGCCGGCTGAACTTGGGGCAGATGAGGTCATTCAGAGGCAGTCGGCCTCGGACGCCCCTTGACCCTGCAGAAAGTACAGGCAGCTGGGCGCAATGAAAACCGTTCTCCGCAGATGAGGCAGAATTTAGCGCCCCTGGAGGCAAGGTTCACTGGTTAAGAACCCGGGCTCTGGTTTAGTGTTCTGAACCTTGGCTTTCCAAGCTGTGAGACAGGAATCCACTTTGCAACGCCCAGCTCACGGGCGCTCCAGTACTAAGGAAGCTGCACAGAACCGGCTAAGCAGCCGATTCCACTAGTGCGCGGGCCCACGTGGCGCTTGCGCGCGAGTGGGGTGACCACGACCGGGGACCAGCTCGTCCCGCCCTCTCACCTCATCTCCTCTCCGCCCCATCACCTGAGGTGCCCGCAGGCCAGGCTGGGGAACATGCCCGCACCCCTACCCGTCCCCTTCCTTACCTCGTACCCTCGTCCTCCCCTCACCAGCTTGCGCCGCTCGCACTCGACAGAGGCTCTCAGCTCAGATCCTGCGTGCAGTGCCTCCGTTGCAGAGACCGGGTTTTACTTCCCCAGAGAGGCCCCTAGTCTAGGAACCAGCACTAGAAGAAAGCTCCCTCCCGCCATTTCTTATTGGCTTAACTTCGAAGGCGGGCCCTTGATAGACATAGTCATTACCCAATGGATGGAGAGGGAAAGAGGAAGACAGAGAGGCGGGGCCTGGAGGAGCCGCCCTGCTCTCTACCCTCGGGGATACGGTAGCATTTGAGCAGCCACAACGCCACCAGGCTGTCACGTGGGACTACACCCCCAGCTTGCCTTATCGCCACACCCTCAGGCCCAGAACCTAGAGAGGTCTCTGGTTCCTTATTGTTCATTCTTGCATAGGTTCCTCCAGGTTTTGTTTCTTCTCTCCTTGCTCCTCTGCTTGCCTTATCGCCACACCCTTAATCATCAACCTTTTGGGCACTTGCCTTGAAGGCAGTATGGATGACTCTAGTTGTACTTGCCCTGACCTTATTTTCTAAACCTGCTCTTCTTCCTAACCCAGTAAAGATCCCATTGGCACTAGGAGACCCAAGTCTAAACATTAGGGTCAATTTGATGCCTCCCTTACTTGTCACATGTTTGTTTGTTTGTTTGTTTTTCCATACAGAGTTTCTCTGTGGCTTCTCTGTGGCTGTCCTGGAACTAGCTCTTATAGACCAGGCTGGTCTCGAACTCACAGAGATCCGCCTGCCTCTGCCTCCAGAGTGCTGGAATTAAAGGCATGTGCCACCAACGCCCGGCTAACTTGTCACATACTTTAATCCTATCATTTCCACCTCCTAAATACCTTCACACCATTTGCCAGTGCCAGATTTCAAGTCTCCAGACTCCCTTTTGCCAAATTACATTTAGTCTTAACTATCTTTCCTCTGGAAACAGCTAGAATGAGCCTTCTAAAATTTCTGATCTAAAATGTTGCTAACCACTGCTTTGAATTCACAATTACATTGGCCTATTAGAGACAAGTGATGGTAGCTGGCACTATTACTAGTTGGTAGCTTGGGAAAGGCAGAGGACCAGAACAACAGATATTCCTCAATGTTTTCTGATCCTAACAACAGCAGAGGCCAGTCTTTACCACTACCCTTATAAATTGTTTTAATAGAGCTTTCCTATATATGTGTGCCAGTAGAATCCTTCCTTGATTTCAAAGAAAAATAAGAGAGAAGAAAGGTCTAGAAATGGGGTCTCCAGAAAGAAAGACACACTGGCCTACCTGAGAAGCCTGAACCCCAATCTGTGAGTGATATATGTCCTGTTATTCAGCCTTAGTAACCAAGAGGATGGTTGTTTGGAAATGTTTTGTTTTGTTTTTAAGGCAGACTCTCACTATGTAGTCATAGCTAGTTTAGACCAGGCTGGCCAGCTTACAAAGATCCACCTGCTTCTGCCTCCCCAGTTCTGGGGTTAATGGCATGTGCTAAGGGCCCTGTTTTACTTACTGTAGGTTGTATTTTGGTTTTGGGTACTATGGAACTCAGAGCCTCCCACATACTGGCAAACACTCTACCACAGAGACACTTCTTCACCTCTCTCCTCTGCCCACCCACCTCATCTTTTGCTACTGTGAGACAATCTTAACAAGTAATCCGAGTCAATCTTGAACCTTAGCCTCAGGAGTAGCTGGGATTATAGACTTGTACCACCCTTTTTGGAACTATAAAAAAAAATAACATTCAGGCTCACTTTAAAGCAAATAAGAAAAAGAAAAATCAAATAAGAATTAAAATGAGCTATTGATTTAGGCCAGTCAACCCTAACAAATACAAAATCACAATGTAAAAAGATGGGCATGGTCTGATCATGAGTTAGAGGCCCATCTGGGCTACATACCAACACTGTTAACAAACAAAAAGCCAGGGGTGGTAGCACATTCCTTTAACCCCAGAACTCCAAACAAGTTGGAGTTCTGTAAATTCAAGCCCAGCCTAGTCTACATAGTGAGTTCAGGAATGTCAGGACTACATAGTGAGTAGCTTACTGTTTCAAAAACAAGCAAACAAAGCAAAAACTACAGTGAAAGGGAACTACAAAACCCAGTAACACCTAACCTGTTAGCTTCATACTGTCCTTTTTTTTTTTTTTTTTTTTTTTTTTTTTTTTTTTTTAAGACATGGTTTCTCTGTGGCTTTGGAGGCTGTCCTGGAACTAGCTCTTATAGATCAGGCTGGTCTCAAACTCACAGAGATCCGCCTGCCTCTGCCTCCCCGAGTGCTGGGATTAAAGGTGTGCCACCACTGACAGGCTTGTTTTATCTTTCTTGATAATAATTTATTACCATTTAACATCCAGTCCTGCATTTCTAGGGATCCTCATAGCCTTTTCATATTTAATGCAGGATAAGATCAACATGGATTAATTTGACTTTAAGTGGAGAGCATGGCCGTTGGGTCGTGCAACTGAAAGCAGAGACCACAGAGGGTAGGACTAGAGAGAAGCTGGGATTACAGCTGATGAGAATTCTGTGGTGTTCAGTTGGAGCCTCTAGTTTGCCCCTGCAGTCTGGGAAGCCCCCCCCCCATGCAAACCCTGCCTGCTCAGAGAGTCTCTGAACAAGGGAACAGTGCCAAAAGTCCATTTCCACATTCTTAGCAGCTATTACAACTTCCTGCCCTGGTGCTGCCAGCTGCCCAAGTCCTCACCTAAGTGATCAGGTTTTGTTTGTTTGTTTGTTTGTTTGTTTGTTTGTTTGTTTTAACCACACTGGGGCACAACCCCAGCTGGTGGCAGACACATCACTACCCCTCACCTACAATCTATAAAACTTTCCGGCCCCGGCCTGGGTGCACAGTTTCTCTGGCCTCAATCTTTGGGATCAATGAGCTTGCCCGGGAGTTGCTTTGTTCAATATACATGCTGTTATACTTTTTCAGTTCTGCTTGATCTGGTTTACTGGGTCAGTGGAGAAACATGGGGGGCGGGGGACATAAAACCTATTATTTGGGTTGTAATCCTCACCTAAGTAAGATATGAACACATGCTTCCCACCTGTAATGTACACCTAATTTTCTTTTTTGTTGTGGTCTGAGGGCTGACTACTTGGTATTGGATAGCCATCTGGGGGCTTCTTCCCTGAGGAAGCCTATTTCTCCTGCTCTTTGCATTCCTTAGTTGTCTACTACTCTGTTTCAAGGGTTGGGGCTCCATAAAATATTGCCCTTCCATGTTACCATGTTCATAATTTGCTGTGAGATTTAATCTCCTAGAAATGTCAGAAGCTACTCTCTTGAAGTTTCATCAACATGGCTGCCTAAAAAAGATCTGAACAAGAAGAACGCAATGAACATGGTAACATGGAAAGGGAAATTTTTTATGTGGTTTACTATACTGGTCTCTGTTGCAAAGAGACGTTTCTTTGTGAAAAAGTGAGGTCTACACATATATGAAGATTTGAAAGTAGGAGCCATAATAAGAGAGAACCTGAGACCTTTACCTTTCTGGGTTTGTGTTACTTCACTCAATATGATCATTTTTAGTTTCACCTATTTATCTGCAAATTTCACATTTATATAGTTGGTTAATATTCCATAGGGTACATGTAAACCTTTTTCTTTTTCCTTTTTTTCTTTTTGGTTTTTCAAGACAGGGTTTCTCTGTATAGCTTTGGAGCCTCTCCTGGAACTAGCTCTGTAGACCAGGCTGGCCTCGAACTCACATAGATCTGCCTGCCTCTATCTTCCAAGGGTGCCACCAACGTTCAGCTGTACACATTTTTCTTATCCATTTATCAGTTGAAAGACACTTACTTTGTTTTCATGTCCTAGCTGTCATGAATAAAGCAACAGTGAACATGACTAAGCAAGTAACCATGGAGTCAGATGTTGAGTCTCTTGGGCATATGCTGAGAAGTGGTATAGCTGGGTCATATGGAAGGGTTAGTTTTAGCTTTCTTTCTTTCTTTATCTCTCTCTTTCTCTCTTTCATTCTTCCTTCCTTTCTCCCTTCCTTTCCTTTTATTGAAAATAGGTTTCTTAGCCCAGCACTAGGGAGGCAGAGGCAGGCAATTTCTGTGAGTTCAAGGCCAGCCTGGTCTACAGAGCTAGTTCCAGGGCAGCTAGGGCTACACAGAGGAACCCTGTCTCAAAAACACTAAAAAAGAAAAGAAAAACAAAACAAAACAAAACAAAAAAAAAGAAAAAAAGGTTTCTTTCTTTTCTCTCACAGTTTCTCCCCACCTCCCTTTCTATCCAGGTCCACCCCCCCCCCCCTTTCTGTCTCTCATTAGAAAATACACATGCTTCTAAGAGATAGTAAAAAAAAAATAAGTTAAAACAAAAACTAACATGGCTGGATGGTGGTGGCACATGCCCTTAATCCCAGCACTCGGGAGGCAGAGACAGGAGATCTCTGTGAGTTTGAGGTCAGCACGGTCTACAGAGCTAGTTCAGGCCAGTCAGAGCTGTTACACAGCAAAACCCTGTCTCTAAAAACCAGCAAACAAACAAAACCTAATGCACCAGAATAGGACAAAGCAAACAAAGCAGGAGAAGAGCCCATGAAAAGGTATAGGAAACAGGAATAGATTCAGAGACCCACTCACTTGAACACTCAGGCATTGTGGAATATTATTTTAACTAGGCAAGGGTGTTGTTACATGTAACGTGTACGGGTTTTTCTGCCTGCCGCTTGGTTTTGTCCTGCCGCTGCGCCGCCAGCCCCAAATAATACACAGAGACTCTGTATATGATACAATACTGTTGGCCCAGTTACTTGTTTCTTATCGGCTAGCTCTGTCTTAATTATTAACCCATTTCTGCTGATAGGGGGCGCTGTCATGGGGATCCTAAGAAGATGTAGAAATCCTGGCTGTAGTCTGCAAGACTGCCTTGTCCAAGCTGTTTTGAATGTTGGATCACCAGCGACTCTGTTTCAGGGGGTCTGGCTTGCTCAAACCACATAAGTCTGGAAGGAATCCACAGCTTTTTATTTTCTGTGGAAACAAAAATAGAAATCCTTTTCCCCAGTAACTTGTCCTTGAACTTAAATGTTTGAGTCAAAGCATTTTTAAAATATATAAATTGAATTAATCCAGCAGCATTTCCTTTATCAGTTGTTATTTTCTCAGCAGTCAAACAATGCAGAGACAACACAATAG